GGTTGTATGCGAACAAAAAGCACAGAGGTGGAAACTGAGTACCCAAATGAGCCACAGGGACGGTAGAATTTTTTTTTCAGTGTCAGCGTAGATAACGGATGAAATGCACTAGGAAGTGATGTGGAGGAAGCAGACAACCAATACAGTTTCAAATTTAAATATGGGAGAGCCCAGTAGTCACAGGAATCTGTACTCGAGTTAAGTGACAGTTGAGAGGCGGGACCAAAGAGCCAAAGCTCTACCCTCGCAGGCACAACTAGGGGAGTACCTTACATGTGGTTCTCAACAGATGTACACCTTACATGTGGTTCTCAACAGATATACACCTAACATGTGATAGTCAACAGATATAAACCTCACATGCCTAACGGAGCAAAACACTTACCTTCTTGTCCACAGCGTCTCCAGCAGTCGTCGTGCGCAGATCCAGGATTCTGCTGCGAAGGTCGTTGCGCTACGGTCAGGTGGACAAAATAAAGTACAGTGATTATAATAAAAACAACACAACAGCTATTCATTAAAAATAATACTCACAGATAAACACATTTGGTGGACAGACCAGGATGAATAGGGCCAGGAGACTGACTCTTGACATGCTGTGATAAAATTTAGCTAATCAGGGAGGTGTAAATAATATCTTTGGTTACAATTACATAACATCAGGTGTTGAAGGAGCCGAGACGCCAAGGTTCACTAAATATATTTTGTCATCATTGTACTTATCAAGATTAGTGGGCAGCCCAAATTTAGCTAAATATATATATAATTTCGCTCTAGGAAGAAGTTACCGAAGAGAAAATATGACGCTATTCGAGGAAGAAAGCTAAATGCGCTTCGAAGACCGCAAAGACTGATCGAGACACTACGAACCTCTTCAGTAACTCGTTCAGGCGCAGAGCAGAGGGCCACCACCATCGCCACGCTCCTCACCAACACACAGATAAAGTAGACCAGATCATCGTCCTGGATCATCGCTGCAGAGGTAAGCAAGAAGAAGAAGACAGCTGTGATGAGTACGAGGGAGCAGACCATAATGAAGATGACGGGGGCGGCGAAGTAGGTGTTGATGGAACGCTGGCAGTCATGCAACTTGCGTGTCAGACACACAGCTTCATCCACGTCTTTGGCGGTCAAACTCCGGCGGGTCCAGTGGTCCTCTGCCTCTTTCATGTGTTGGTAAATGGCGACTGTGAGTAAGTCATTATCCGGGTTGGGAGATTCAACTCCGGGTAAACCCAAAATATTATCTGGGAGTATGCTCGCGAAACCATTGGCCATAATCGATGCTGATACGGTGAAAATTAAGATAATGCTTACAAGAAGCAATTGCAAAAGCAAGTTAATGTTGGAATAATGCACACCACTGGTTGTATAAAATTTTAAAAAACTTTCAGATTGTGGCAACCTATTAAATGAATCAATGTTTTTCCTTAAGACAATTCCGCTCTGAAGGATTAAACTTCCAATAAAAATTACATATGTTGCAAAGAAACGCTTGAAAACACGAACATTCTGCAAGTGAGGCAGAATGTGATCTAGAACCAGATTGACTTGATGGATGAGCCGGGCTAGGCTAGAGCTCCTCACCAGGAGGTGAATGAATAACAACAGCCCCAGTACGAGGTTGTTTACCCTGGACAGCCGCTGAGCGGTTAACAGTGTTGTTGTCGATGTGATATGCTGTGTTGTCGATACTTGATTTCCTTTGTAAATTTCCATATTATATAAAGTTTCAGAAATTGAAAACTGACATATTAAATTCATAATAATTGCCCAGGACCAGACCACCAGACACGGGCTCCTCCTCAGAGAGCGGGGAAATCTGGTAGCTGGAGAAGACTTAGACTTGCTGGCAGCAAAACTCTTCCTTCCCTCTTGACTCACGGTCTCCAGGGACCCGCGGGTTTCCCATTTGTATGGCAATCCTCCAAATAATCGCAAAAATAAACAGCATGTACGAAACACCTTCAATATGTATAACTCCATAAGGGGTTTCCAGGGTGTGATGGCCATGTTGTCAGCTGGTCAGTTGTAAGCCTGAGGTAGAGGGTGCGGTCAGCTGTGAACCAGTGGTAGAAGGTATGATCAGGTGTGAGCCGGTGGTAGAGTGTACGGTCAGCTGTACATGGAGGCTGGAGCGTTACTGGGAGGCAGAGTGACGATTGAGAGGCGGAGCTCACGCCCCGCCCCTCGTAGTAATGGATATCAACGTTACCAAAAAAAAAAACAATGTGGGCGATTGAACCTGCAGCTGACAAATGTACTCCCAGGAGCACATTTTAGAGGATTTCATTTGTTATACAGCATTATACAGATGCACGGCTGGGGGTGAGGATGTACTTAACAAGCCTCCAACTGTGCTTCAAAAGAATCATTTCCAATTTATTTTTTTATAATTGCCAATTTTTTTCACAACAAGAAAGTCTATTGTTTTAGCTATGTTTTAGGCTTCAAGTGAGAGAAGCCGAGCAACACTATTTTTATTTACACTTTTTTGAGTCATCAACTTTTAATAATACCGAATAAATGACTTTGTAAAAGTATTTGTGCACAATAATCTATATAAATAAAAATGGAAATGTTCGTTTGTTCAAAATCGCTAATCTCAGAAAGTTCTTTACCGATTGCTTTGAAATTTTCACACAACTTTCCATTCGCATCCGAGCGGGTTTTTATATACATGCTATATAGATGTCACGTTTGTGACGAGGAAAAAACAAGTTTTTTTTGAAAAACTGTGAGGGAAATCTTTGAAACCTCTTTACCGATTGCTTCTAAATTCTGACACAACGTTGCATTCGCTTAGGCGCGTGTTTTTACATGCATATTATATACATGCCTCACCTGTGACATGAAGAACATGTTTTTTTTTTTTTAAACAGCTCCATCTGTTTGACATCAGAGCAACACACGCTGTAATATCTGAAAGTTCTTCTCCGATTGTTTTGAAATTGACTCAACATTCCATTCGAATACGCACATGTTTCTATATACCTACTATATAGGTGCCACACTTGTGACAGGTAAATACATACTTTTTTTGAAAAACAGTGCCATCTGTTGTCATATATATATATATATATATATATATATATATATATATATATATATATATATATATATATATATAATCTGCCTGTCCCTCGGTATCTCAGTCTCTCTTCTCTGTCCATCTGTCTGCCCCTTTCTCCCGCTCTCTTTTTTCTCTGTATTTTTGTGTGTCTCCTTTTCTGTCTGTCTGTCTGTCTATCACCCTTGTCTCCCGCCAAACACACAACGAAACTACGACGTTACTTCAATGTTTGAACAATTTGTAATAATTATCTAACAAGTTGTAACAAGTTTCTAATACGTTATAAAAACTTTATAAAAATGTAACTTTGGAAACAAGTTGTAACAAGGAATAGCGACCATTACGTTGTTTGTTTACAGGTCTGTTTGTCTGTCTCTCTCTGTATCTCTGTCTGGTTCTCTCTTACTCTCTCCCTCCCTCTCTCTCTCCTCTCAATAAAATAACTTTTATTGCCTAATTATTACAAAAATAAAAAAATTTGCATAAACGTTAACATGTTTGTTAACATGTTTTAGCCTCGCATTGTAAATCTTTTTAAAATTTCTCAAAATCATGTTTTGAAATAGCAATTTTAAGCAACAAAAAACACATTTCATTTTTAATTGTTCTAAAAAAGAAATAAAAGTTTGCTGGGGTAGTGGGCAGGCTAAATTCGAGCAAATATATGAACGATTTCGCTCTGTAAGATGTTTTACAAATACTCACACGACCACCAAAATTTTAAAAATACTGAATTACGAACCTTTTCAGTGACTCGATCAGGAGCAGAGCAGAGGGTCACCACCAGCACGACGTTCCACACCAAGTCACAGATGAAGTAACTCAGACCATCCTGGATCATGTTAGCATAGGTCAGCAACACGAAGAACATGAGTGTGATGAAGATGAGGGAGTAGACCATGATGAAGATGACGGGGGCGGCGAAGTAGGTGTTGAGGGAACGCTGGCAGTCATGCAACTTTCGCGTCAGACACACAGCTTCATCCACGTCTCTGGCGGTCAACCTCCGGCGGGTCCAGTGGTCCTCAGCCTCACCCACGTGTGGGCCAACGGCAGCAGAAGGAGGTGATTGAGTTTGGACGACTGTGAGTGAGTCTTTATCCAGGTTGGGAGATTTAACTTCGGGTAGACCAAAAACATCAGCTCTGAGTATGCTTGCGAAACCATTGGCCATAATTGATGCTGATGCGGAGAAAATTAAGATAATGCTTACGCAAAACAATTGTAAAAGCAAGTTAACTGTGAAATAATGTGCACCACTGCTTATGTAAAATTTTAAAAAACTTCTAGAGTGTGATAACTCATTAAATGACTCTAGAATCTTGGAAAAGACAAACCAGCACCGAAGGATTAAACTTACTTTAAAAATACTGCACGTTGCAAAGAAAAGTTTGTCAACAGAAGTATTCTGTAAGTCAGGAGCAATGTGGTCAAGAACAAGATTTACTTGACAGATGAGTCGGGCAAGGCCAGGACTCTTCACTAGGAGGTGAATAAATATGAACAGCCCCAGTACAAGGTTGTTGACCCTGCCCAGCCACTTGACGACTGACATTGTTGACATGGATGTGATTATTACTTGATATTTGTTGTAGATTTCCATATTATATAAAGTTTCAGTCGTCAAAAACTGACATATAAAATTCATTATAATTGCCCAGGACCATACCACCAGACACGGGCTCCTCCTCAGAGAGCGGGGAAATCTGGTAGCTGGAGAAGACTTAGACTTGCTGGCAGCTAAACCTTTCCTTCCCTCTTGACTCACGGTCTCCAGCGACCCGCGGGTTTCCCATTTGTATGGCAATCCTCCAAATAATCGCAAAAATAAGCAGCATGAACGAAATACCTTCAATATGGATATTCCCAGGCGGGGTTTCCAGGGTGTGATGGCCATGTTGTCAGCTGGTCAGTTGTGTGCGGTCAGTTATGAGCCGGTGGTAGAGGGTACGGTCAGCTGTGAGCCGGTGGAAGAGGGTACGGTCAGCTGTGAGCCGGTGGTAGAGGGTACGGTCAGCTGTGAGCCGGTGGTAGAGGGTACGGTCAGCTGTGAGCCGGTGGAAGAGGGTACGGTCAGCTGTGAGCCGGTGGTAGAGGGTACGGTCAGCTGTGAGCCGGTGGTAGAGGGTACGGTCAGCTGTGAGCCGGTGGTAGAGGGTACGGTCAGCTGTGAGCCGGTGGTAGAGGGTACGGTCAGCTGTGGGCCGGTGGTAGAGGGTAGGATCAGCTGTGAGGTGGTGGAGAGTGTACGGTCAACTGTGAGCCGGTGGTAGAGGGTACGGTCAGCTGTGAGCCGGTGGTAGAGGGTACGGTCAGCTGTGAGCCACTGGTAGAGGGTACGGTCAGCTGTGAGCCGGTGGTAGAGGGTACGGTCAGCTGTGAGCCGGTGGTAGAGGGTACGGTCAGCTGTGAGCCGGTGGTAGAGGGTACGGTCAGCTGTGAGCCGATGGTAGAGGGTACGGTCAGCTGTGAGCCGGTGGTAGAGAGTCCGGTCAGCTGTACATGGAAGCAGGAACGTCACTGGGAGGCAGAGTAGTCGCGCTCCCGCCCCGCCCCTCACGGTAATGGATATCGGCGTCACTTAAAACAACAATGTGTGCAATACACAGAGAGTAATCACACTAACGTGATGTAAAATTCGGAACTCTATAGGAACCGTGATGAGGATTCGAACCTTGCGGTGGGTATACCCACGCTCACGCCCCAGACAACCAGGCCATGACATGGTCAAACTAATTGCAACCTGGCATTCTACTGAACACATGAGTGTTTCTTGTACTTCCAATGAAGTCGGAGCAGGATTTTCACAATCTCCCCCCCCCCCGCCTCAGGCACTCTGGCTCTGTCATCTATCTCTGACGCTCCTCTTCCAATACACAGAGAGCAACATCCAGTTAGTGTGATTACCAGAGAAAATAAACATTGTCATGATCAGAATCGGAACGTGAATTGTTACATAAGTTACTATTTATTTAAAATATTACTATTATACTAAATACTAAATATTTAATTATTTATTTATTCTACTATATTTCTATTTATTCTAAATAGAAATAAACTACTATTTTATTATTCTATTACCTATTTATTCTAAATATTTCTTAAGAATGAAACTAAAAAGCTAAAAAACTTATTATAGGAGATATGCAGGCCATTAAAGCATCTTCGGGATGAAATATCTAGAGCATCTAGGTCAAACAGTATTGTGTCATGCGTGACTTTAATTTTATTGGAATAAACTGGCTTAACAGACCAGGGAATAACGAAACAGAAGACTTTCTAGAATTAATAAACGATTGCTTCCTTAAGGAACCAACACAGGAAAATAATGTTTTAGATTTGGAGTTAACTAACAGGGAGACAAATTAATGACATCGAAATAGAGAATGAGCTAAGGAACAGTGAACATATAGAAATCAGATTTAGCATAGAATGGAATAGATTTGTAAGAGAAAATTCTGTTAAAATGTCAAATTTCCGAAAAGCTGATTTTAATTAATGGCTTAAGAAATGTTATAGTTGTAATAGATCGGAAAGTCCTGAGCATGATGGTGGGTCGGTCTTGGAGCGAGACGTGAACATAGCAATAGGTGACGAAGAAGGGATTTCGAAGACGATTCAAAATATATCCAATTTACAAATATTCTAAGCAAAGTACAGGATCGAAGGATACAATAAAAATTGAATATATCAAATACTAATGACCCAAAATGGATAACAAAGAATCTGAAGATCGTTATAGGTAGAAATAGAGCTTGGTACAAAAGTATTACAAATGGTAAAGGTAGTTTAGGACCAGAATTCCTCTAACTGGTTAGAAATGATAAAAAAGGAGATATGGAGGGCAAAAAAAAACTATAAAGTTTGCATAGCATGAAAAATCCTTAAGGATTTTTTAGAATAAAAAATTTAGATTTTTTAGAATAAAAAATCCTAAAGGATTTTTTAGCTGTCTCGAACGAAGATTAGGGAAAGGATAGATACATTAAAAACTGAGACAGGTCAGATAACTGATTATGATGATGAGATAAAAAGCATTTTAAATAAATATTTTATATCTGTATTTACTATAGAATAACTTAATTAACATTCTGAATTCGGCCAAACAAGCCTATGTTGGTAGGGAAGAGAATTTCAGGTTAATTAGTTTTGTAGTTACCAGGAAGGAGGTTATTGAAGAAATAGTAAAATTCAAGCCAAGCAAATCCCCAGGGCCTTACGAAGTGTTTGCCAGGGATGCTAAAAGAATGCAACAGAGGTCCCAGGACAGAGCCCTGAGGCACTCCTCCTACAGTATCTTCCCACTCTGACTTAACCCCATTTATACTAACTTTGTTTCCTTTGGTATTGTCATGTCCTAATCCAACTTAATATAGCACCCCCAATACCATGAGCCTCTATCTTTTTAATCAGTCTTTCATGTGGCACTGTATCAAAACTTTGCTAATGTCCAGGTACACAACATCACAAACCTTACCACTATCAACTGCCTCAACTATGCTGGAGTAAAATGATAGCAAATTTGTTAAACATGAACGGCCATTTGTAAAACCATGTTCTGAATCATTTATTAATGTTTTTCAAGATCATGACAAATGATATTTACAATTATCGATTCAAGTAACTTTCCAACAATAGATGTTAGGCTAATTGGCCAATAGTAGCCGCATGTACACAGAGTCACTCCAAGCATTTCTCCTTTTACCATAAGTGAAAAGGGTGTTTTGACTCACATACATGTAGTGTTGCATGGTTAGACTTCTCTCATACATTATCCCTCTCCTCTCCACTCCTGCCTGTGCCTGAATATTTCTGATTTTGCTTCTTATTTGTCTCATTGTGAATTCACATTCAATGTCAATTTGCGGTTTTGATGTGGCACGTTTGGCCAAGTCATCCGCCACCTCGTTGAGCACTATTCCAACATGAGATGGAATCCACATGAATTTCACACTATGACCTTTCAGCTGTATCTCAGCTATTCTTCTCTTACAATCCTCAACTATAGACATGAAGACTGGGTTTCGACTGTTTAAGGACTCCAGTGCTCCTCGGCTATCGACAAATACAAAAACATTTTTGTCGTCATGACGTACTTCCTCCAAACACGCCAGAATGGCCTGCAGTTCAGCTTGTGTGGATGATATATAATTACTACGCCGGAGTTCAATTTTCCTGTCCACAGTCCCAAACTCCGTATATTCCCTTATTAGGACACCACACCCTGCCCTGCCATCCTCCGCCACCGACCCGTCGCAATATACATGTAAACTGTTGCCTCTTGGTAACCGGGATATCATGCTTCCATACAAACACCGTAATTGTCCCGGTTCATGATGAATCTTTTTCACATTGAGGGGTACAATTTCGACGTCTATTTTCTGTACTTTCCAGGGAGCAGACATATTACCCTGTCGAGAGGGTTTACAGCAGTCAAGTACATCGTATTCCCTGAGGTCATGAGCTAATCCCCTCGTGTAGCGTGTCTCCCTCAGTTTCCTGGAAGTGTGTACGTCACTCAAGCAGGTCTGAACGCTCTCAAACAGCTTATCCCCTCCTTTTCTCCGCATGAAACGAATAGCAACTCTAGTGTTAATGTCACGGACTCTATCACACACACTTTGTAAATTTAATTCCATTCTCATTATTTCAATCATTGCATTTCTTTGACATCCAAGAATAATCCTCATAGCCTCGTTCTGTATCAGCTCTATTTTTTGAATTCTGCCTTGGCCTGTGTAAGACAAAACGGGTGCTGCGTAGTCTATCAGGGACCGAACAGTGCTTATGTATAACATCCGTAAGATAGGTACCCCAACACCTTTACCAGAAAAAGCCAGTGCTTTTAGAGGATGCAGACGGGCTTTACATAAGGTGCTGATATGATTTATTTCAGCATTTTTACTCTCACATGTGTATCCAACATACATGCCCAGATACTTGTACTTCTGAACACGGCTCAGTTCCACACCATTTAGAGTAAGTGTTATATTTCTTCGTTTCCTATACTCATATTTGGTTTTATCTGCATTTATAACTAAGCCTAACTTGTGACAGGTTGTACCAAGTATGTTAAGAGTAGTTTGAATTTTGTTCCCGGAAGTGCCTTGTATAAGAATGTCATCAGCATATATGATCGTCGTGACCCCTGGAGGATACATTTCTGATGCTAATCTGTTCATTAATACATTGAATAAGGTGGGACTTAATACTTCCCCTTGTGGGGTACCTAACTGAAACCTCCGTTCCTCAGACATGCATCCCTGATAATACACCTGACCTTTTCTGCCTTGTAGATAATCCCTTATCCAGTGTAACAATCTCCCTGTTATTCCCAGATTGGCTAATTCGTATAAGATTACTTCCCCATTGGCTTTATCAAATGCTCCTTGTAGATCAACAAAAACTCTACAATTGTCATCCATATTAGACAAACACTTTAAGAGACAATCCGCAGTACTTTTGCCTTTGACAATACCAAAGAGATTACTGGACATGTTATCACCTACAAGGTAGAGTAGCCTATTTAACAAAATCCTTTCCATCATTTTACAAAAGCAGGATATTAAGGAGACAGGTCTGTAGCCACCGTTTGACTTAGGGATAGGACTGATGACTGCCTCTTTTCATTTTCTTGGTAATTTTCCCTCTCTATAACTCATATTAAACAAATCAAGTAAGGGACTAGGTTTCATACCGGCTAAATAATTAAGAATGTCATACGTTACTCCATCTTTCCCAGGAGCAGTAGAGCTGCCACTTTTTATAGCATCCAGTAGCTCATCGTGAGTTATCTCAGTGCACGCTATAGATCTTGTATTTAAGGCACATAAAGTTACTCCATTTCTAATATTTTCCCATGACTCAATGGTGATTCTCGTGTCTGCAGGTAAGGACTCCATACCAGCAGCACTAGCCCATTTATCTACTAACTCATTAGCAACCTTCCCTGGATCTAAGTGAGCAATGAATTTGGTCTTACAACCCCTGACTTTATTTACTGCTCTCCATATGTCTTTAAGGTTCTTAGTATTACCAATGGACTGAGCAAAGTCTTGCCAGTATCTGTCCCGCGCCTCCTTCCTCACCTGACTGCATTCCCTAGCCACTTCCAACATTGTATTTTTCTCTTCATCCCTCATTCCATTTTTATCCATTCTTTATGTGCACTCCGTAGCATTCTCTCCCACCCCTTGACTTGCTGATCATTGGAATATTTAAATTTCTTAGGTCCATGCGTCTTGCTTCCCCTGCCCCCGTTATTTTCCCTCTGTACTAATTTCTCTATGTTCTCGACCATATCCTCGTAAAAACTATCAACGCAGAGCGGCGTGTATTGTTGATACCAATCTCCCATATTTTGAATAAAATAATTTTTCATATCTTTATTAATATTTAGCCTTTTCCTTTGAAAGTGGACTTGTTTTTTCCCCAGTGGTAATTCAACGTTCAAGGCAAAGTGGTCACTAAGTAGTTCCCGAACAACCCGAGCCTCCCCCATAATCCCCTGAGAGTTTAAAATGCAGGCATAGTCAAGCCGTCCTCCCCTGATGTGAGTTGGTTCATTGTTTCCCAATAGA